ATTTGACCAAAATACCACTAAAATTTTCAAGGGTATTTTACTCTTTTTAATTTGAATTATTTTTATTTTTATTGGGTGCCTTATTTTTAATGCAAAGACCCCAAATTTCATTTAAAAATCACTTTCTAAAAAATTAAAAATAAAAAGACAAAAGGCAGATGTCCAATTGGCCAAGATTAAATATGGGGTGCTATTCCTTCGGGCCGTTGTCATACAATAGAGAGATCCTAACATGTGGGTGTGTGTGTGTGAGGGTTAAGAGTGCTTTACTCTAATATCGTTCATGCACATGAGATATTACAGTTGAGTACCTTCCAGGATAATAGACATTAGAACAACAAATGTTACATATATGGCATTTACATGTACAATACAAATATAAAGTATCGTATTGCTACTAGCCTCCTACAAGAATCATATATTCCAATTTCTCTTAATCAAGTAATGATCAGAGCTGTTCTAACCAAGGGTTGTCAGTGGATGTCAAATCCAAGATACTTTAGCAGTAACTGCTGCCATAAACCTAAACTCCGCCTTGATGCTTGACAGGTTCGTTGTTTTCTGCTAACCCATGAGACCAAACTATTTTATAAACACATAGTAATTAGATATAGAACGACAAAACTGTGTATACAACAAGTCATCACTAGCCATTGCCTTAACAAATTGAAGTATGCATTTCATTGTCTCCAAGTGAGTAGAATATGGTGCATGCATAAAATAGGTGACAAGACATGGTTCATTGCAACAACAATGTCAAGTTGCAAGAATATTGGATACTGGAGGGCACCAACGATACTACGGTATTGATGTGGATCAAAAACAGGTTCACCCTCTTCTACTTGAGTCTCTGATGAATAGGTGCGGAAGTCATGACGCGTTTACAATCTTTCATGCCACTGCAAGAAAGTAAATCCAAGGCATACTTACGTCGGCAAAGTATAATTTTGTCAGCACCTCAGTACTAGGGAAATACTTCAATGCCAAATTTTCTGTTTGAAATCCAAATCTTTCATTTGAAATCTTTAGTTTAAAAAATCCATTATGGTTTGAATATGATTAACTTGCCAATTATAGCAATAAAATCTACATACAGAAGTAAAATCGTGATTCTTTGGTCACCAAAGAATAAGAAGTCTTCCATTTGGCTATGCTTAAAACCACGAGACGTTATTTCCTTGCAAAAACAGTTACACCATGCTCGAGACACCTCCTTTAGACCATAAAGTGCCTTGTTGAGTCATGCATTCTTTGAGTTTTGGATCGCCTACACTGTACCTACGTGTCTACTCCATGTAAAAAGCTCATTCAACATGAAAGAAGACATTTTTAACATCCAACTACTAAAGATCCCAAACATAAGTGATTGTTAAGAAGATAACAGTGTGGATTGTTCTCATTTTAACTATGGGGATGAATGATTCGTCATAGTCCAAGTTCTCTTCTTGAGTATGCCCCCTTTGCCAGAAAGCAATCTTTGAAGTGTTCAATGCTACCATCAGCCTTTTTCTACCCTCCCTTGCAATGTTCAAAAAATTTATCAGGCTGCATCCCAGAGAAGGCAAAAGAGTTCTTTTTTGGTCCGATCTCTGGATAGGGCACGCACCGCTAAGGGAATGCTTCCCTTCTCTCTATGCTTTAGCATCCAAGAGAGATTCCACAATCGATGACGAACTTAGACCACAGGGTGGTAGGAGACGATGGCAACCTTCTTTTAGAAGAAATCTTACTAAGGAAGAAATAAATCAGTTCCTTTCTCTCTCGTCTATGATGCACGGTACCTTTATTCCGGTCCATGGAAGTGACAAGCTGGTAAGGTCCCTAGTTCCATCAGGAGAATTCTTAGTGGCCTCCTTTTACAAGATCCTATCTCCACCTCCCACTTTCCCTCTCAGTCCCACCTCGATTCTTTCCCAGGTATGGCAAACTTTAGCCCCCCCAAAGGTGCAAACTTTCAATTGGTTAGCTGCATCTCATAAGGCACTAACTATTGATCACCTGCAAAGAAAAGGGATCCCCATTCCAAACAGGTGCAGCATGTGCTGAAGCGAGGAGGAGTCCAACTTTCACCTTTTCCTCCTTTGTAAGATAGCACATGACCTTTGGGGTTGCGTATGACAACTTTTTGGGGTAGACTAGGTGATTCCACAGTTGATCAAGGATCTAATTGCTCTGAACCCCTACTCCCATTGGCCGAAAGCAGGGAAAATCGTAGGGAAAGCTTCAGTGGCAGCAACCATCTGGACACTTAGGAAAGAAAGGAATGCCAGAATTTTTAGGGGACAAGTCACTCTGGTTCCAACTCTTTTTTTAACAAGTAACAGCCTTAGTAACTTTTTGGGTGACAAACAATGACCATTTCAATGGAATTCCAGCACACTCCATCCTACCTCAATGGAAGAACATCTTACTTCACAGGCCTAGTAAGAACACGAAAATCGTGGCCACATGGAAACCACCCCCCCAAGGAGCAGTCAAACTTAATTTTGATGGCTGCTCCTTAGGTAATCCAGGTCATGCAGGGATAGGAGGAGTATTCCGAGACCACCAACACAATGTCCTCTTCACGTACTCAGAGTACATAGGGGTGCAAGATTCACAACATGTTGAATCTCTTGCGCTACTCAAAGGCTTGCAAAGTTTCGAAAGCTCTTGGGGACAACATCTTATTGTGGAGGGCGACCCCCAAAATATTGTCACTTGGGCCTCCAGGGAAGTGTCGGCCCCCTGGTATCTTTGGCCTTTGTTTGATGAGATTTAACATATTTGCACGGGTATGTATGTCTCATGGAAGCATACACCGAGGACGTCAAACGCCTTCGCGGACCTTCTGGCGAAGGACGAAGCTAAAGCCCATGAGGATGACTAGATTTGGCCTGCTACACTTTTTTGCATATTGCAGGCCTAACACTGTGCAGCATCTTTTTGTTATTTTTTGTAAAGTGTTTGTGGATATTGTATGGGGACTGTTATAACCCCATGTTCAGGTACTTTGCAAAGGAATATCACTTACCCCTTTTTTGTTTACTTGTGAGGGGGCAGTCTTTGTATCACATTTTGTATAAGGCCAGTGGCCTATTCTTTTTTGTAGAGAGTCTCGCCCACCAGGGGACTCTCATTAACTATTTTAATAATATTTTTGTTAACACTCAAAAAAAAAAAATGCTACCATCAGCCTTGTACTCAATTTTGGAGACCCATTTACAGTCTACCACATACTTATTCAAGGGTCTATCCATAATCACCAGGTAAGTCACTCATTAGTGCTCTCATCTCTTCATCCATTGCTTCAACCTAGAGATAATTCGTTCTTGCAATTCTGAAGCTGGAACGTTATACATGTTTCTTAATCCATGCTAAGAAGATTTGATGATTAATGAGAAAAAACTATCATAGCTTACCCATTTATCCACCGAATGCCTCACGTGAAGGATCTGCAAACTGGAACAAGCGTTAAGTAAAAGATGGCAGAAAAGTGATAGGATGAACTGGGTATTCTTGTTCTCTGCATGGGCCATGATTGAGAGTCTCCTGAATTTTTATTTTATTTTTTGTAAGTTGTTAACTGTAGTGTTAAGAGAGAAAGATTAAGTACAAAGGGGAGGCAGAGGTGGCCCACAAGCTAGGCCACGTGCCCCAAAAAAGAATTTGAGTACCCTGGAAGGGTACTTCTGTACAAGAAAATGTCTGACGTTATACAAAAAAGAAACCAACCTTGATAAGATGAATAAAAACCAAGAACTGGACACAACAAGTGGCCCTTACAAAAGAGGACAATAGGCTAAAACAGAAACCAGCCACTCATAGGCCTGAGATATTAGATGTCGCTCCATCTTTAGCTAGATGATTCGTCATGTCGCTGGATTTCCTCCAAATATGCTTCCATGAGACGGTGATATCTCTGCAAACGTGAGAAATCTCATCAAAGAACGAAGCCAGGTACCAGGGAAGGGGGCCAAAGCCTGCTGCCCAGGATATGACGTTTTTTCCATCTCCTTCCACTAAGAGTGGTTGAGGCCAGGAGGGGTTAAAAAGCTTGAGACCAGTTAGCAGTGCCATGGACTCTACCATTTGGGAGTCTGTGTGGTCAATGTTTTCGGAGAAGCAGGCTGAAACAGTGCCGAGGTGGCCGCGGAAGACCCCACCTACTCTGGCCAGACCTGGGTTGTCCAAGGAGCACCCGTCGAAATTCAGCTTGGTGTGGCCCTCCGGGGGAGCAGACCAATTGCTCGGTCTATGCACCCTGGGCAACTGGGTTTGTAAGATTTCCCTCCACTGGTATATGAAAGAGGAGACTGGAAGCCCTTTGAAGGCCTTGTGATTGGAATCCCAAAAGGCCAAATCAGAGGTTATTGTGTGGAATAAACCAGGAACTTCACATTTGGTTCCTCTAAAAATCCTCAAGTTCCTCTCCGTCGAAATTGCCCAAATGGTGGTTGCGATGGAGGTTTTCCAGAGTAGCCTCCCAACAGAAGGCCATGGGGAGTCCCTTGACGTATTAAAGAGGACTGGAATAGCTCCTGAATATTGTTTGCTATGTAATGATAATGTAAAGCCAACTAATGGACAAATCACAGTTATCATTAATGCTGCCAACACTATGCATGTTGTGAGGAGCTTGCTGACTTTCACCATCATTTGAGCCATCATGCATTCTACAATAAGTACCACTGCTGTCACCATTATTGCCAATAATCTCATAGAGCAGCATCAATCATGCTGTCATGACCACCGCAAGGACAATCGTTGTTGTCATTAATGTGCATGTCGTGGCTGCTATGAGGATCATGATTAACACTGCAAAAAGTGCCTTCAAAAAGTGCACTGGTATTGGAGTGATTGCTGGAGCATTATCATGAAGTTGAATACAGAAGAATGTGCAACATGATGGTATTGGAGTGATTGCTGGAGTATTATCATGAAGTTGAATACAGAAGAATGTGCAACATGAGGTAGGACTGAAGCCACATGACTGCCCTTCACTATTAAAGCTTACCAAGATTAGCTGATGCAACCAGTATAACAAAGCTTTCATTATCGAATATAACACGTCGAGAGATGTGGATACGTCAATGGGATTAAAACAGTTATACCCACTAAAATCATTGGCATAGCCTACAAATCGACATGCTCTAGCCTGTGCTAAAAATTTATCCCTCAAAGTGCTATCTACATAAGCATAGAAAATGCAAATGGAAATCATCAAGAAACCATAATCCAAATGTCATTCATTAACGAGATGATAACCTAACAAGCTTTATTAACGGCACACAATTTATAAGATAAACCATTGTATGAAATGCCTCACTGCAAAGGTCAACAGAGACCCCATTTATATGCATCACAATGAGTGTGGTTTATGTGATGCAGCAATGCTTGCATTCAGTTATTATGTTTTGTTCTAGCATATGTGGGCAAGACTTTTCATGACGTAGTCTATTATTTAAGAGGAACTTAGTGAACTCTTTGTGAATTCACCTCCACCATCACTCCTCCCAAAATTAATGATTTTTACAGCAAATTGGTTTTTTAATGAACAATTTGAATTGGAAAAGAAGTCGTGGGAGGCAAGGCACACAGGGGAGTAGG